GTCTTTCTCCGCTGTTCACCACCCCCCCCCCAGACCTCGATCAAAACCCGTTAGAAAAAGTAACCACAATTACCCGCAACTGTTGCCCACCCATCCCGCCGCCGATCCGAATCATCCAAACACGCGTGCCCTTGTTTTCAAAACTTTTTGGCTAGACATTTTCTTGAATCAGCTCCTCTCGCCTCCACCCTTCCCTCGTTTCCAACGAAAAGAATGTTGCAAAAAACGCGCTTTACACACACCCCGTGCCCCATTCCTTTGGGACCAATTTTTTCTCCGTTCCAACCACCCGCGGCCCTAAACCCGTTAAGATTTTGGAGGTCTTGGGTTTTTTGGAGGTCTATTTGCGCGATCAGCACAAGCGCGAAAAATTTAGTGTTTGCGGGGGGTTTGGGGCTAGTCATGCGCCCAGATATGGCATGGGGGGGGACGGCCTATCTTCGGGCAGTCAACACACGTCTATCGTGCCTGAAACCGGCAAATTTGCGTTTAGAAAACCTTGGCAGTACGCTTTAGGGCTAGTTTATTACTTCCAGCGGGGAACCCACGCCTATCCTATCTAAACTCACCAAATTTGAGTTTAGAAAACCTTCATGCTAAGCTTTTGCGCTGAAGTTTATGCATGCCTATCCTCCCAGGCGCAGCTTGTTTACTTCCGGGGGGGGGGGGGGGGCAATTCGTGTTTTTTTTGGCACGGCCCGTTATAATTAGGGGTACGCTATACTGTTTTTTTCCCTGAGCGAGCCGCTGGTTGCCGATCGCATTTCCTGTGTGATCCACAAAGCGGCCCGGGCCGGTGCTGGTGGGGGCGCGCCGGGGATGGAGGTCTGTTTTCCTCCATTCACCCATTTGCATCAACCCACGGCCGTCCCCCCTAACCCCGTCAACAAAACATAAAGGGGGTGGAAGATGGGGTTGAGAGGGAGGGAATGGGAACAGATTTTAGGGGAGGAGGAGGATACGGTAGCGGGAGACTTCCTGGTCCATGTCTGTATGTGGAAAACAGGGAGTCTTGGTTATTTTATCGTACGAAACGTCGCTGTCATGCCCTTGGATTGAGATACTGATTTATAAGGCTTATCTAGCTGATGTCTCGCTTTATTCATCCGCCTTTCATAATTTAGCTACCGAAATCTTGCTCAAGAATCCCTTTAGATGCTAGTATTTTGATAATAATCATATTTACCTTCTGAACTTTCACCACCATCTCTCATTGTTTAGACAAACCGAAACAGGGCACCACCGGTCCCGGGCGCGTTCCCCGGTCCACCCGGTTTCGTGACGTCGCGAAACAGTGCCCTAGGGCATCTTGCGTCAGGCTTAGAAGGGCCGCCATCTGTTCTCCCCTAGTGCCTCCCTTTAGTCACGTCATTACTCATGCAACCCCGTCCTTTCCCCCTCCATCGCTTATCACCCGCCTATCCCTGCTGCGCCTACTCAGCCTCAAATCCGAGGAGCCCTGCAGCGCCACACGGTCTGCAAACTTCCGCAAGCCCTTCCAAGAAATTGCATAATGGCTTATGAAATTTGGAATTAAACGTGAGTAAGCCCTTATCTTACCCTTGCATCTGTCTGACAGGTTATGGCCGGAGCGGTGTGCCAACTGTATAAAAGGGACTTGGCGCCGGAGGGTCTAACAGTTCCAACATTAGCCTTTCGTTATTTTTCAAAACATTAGCCTTGTTTTGCTAGTCCTAGCTTTTAGATTTCGTAGCAGTCTCCCCCCCATCAGTTTGTGTGACTTGTTGCCCAAGACAATGTGGGTGTGCTCAAAGAGCCGACCGAAAGGTGTTTGTCCTTTGCCAGATCTGCCGAACAGAGCTAGGGCCCCTGGCCAATGTCTGCGTAAACAGACAATGTCTGCCGCTGCCTCCACCACCTCCTCCACCATCACCACTAAGGGCCCCCATACCGAAACCCGTCACGCTCATTTGACTAATTGCCTTCTGCTTCTTCTTCCAACTAGCCGCTTTTTCTTTATCTTCCGCCCCGCTGCACCCACCCTCCGCCTAATTAAATGTCATATCCGCATCCATCGCCGAATTCGCACGTTTTGCATAGGAAATATACCCCCAACGGCAAATAAATTCCGCAAAGCGCACGTCCTCCCACCCCTAGCAATAAAACGAAACATTTTGAATATTATATGTTGACCACAGGCCATGGGGATGATTCACTTTGATCCGGCCGAAAGCGCCGGGACAAAAGCCATTTTGGGGCTGCGTAACCAGTTTTGATCGCTATTTTTGGCGGCGTTTATTGAGCGCCTCCGCTTACTCACACAAGCCTATTAGTCCACACATCCATCTGGTCCTTCTGGCCAAATATGTGCAAAGAGGAATTTTGGGAGGAAGTCCGAGTTTTGAAATCATTTTGTTTGGGGTCAAGCCGCCGGGTTGCAAAGGCGAAATCGTAACGCTTTTTCTAAGCCCATTTTGTCCATCAGGGCTTTTAACGGCGATTCCCCCCATTTGACAGAGGCGGGTTAAAGGGAGCACGACGGCGGGTTCTCCTTTTTCTTGCGCTTAGGACAATGGCCAACAAGTGATCGCGGCCGGGGGTCCGGCCAGGGCCATTATTCACCCGAGACGGATCGGCACCACTGCATCGTTCAGCGGCACCTTCCCCCCATTGCTCCCCAGATCAGCTGGATGCGAAAAATGGCAGTCCACCGGACCGGAGAAAGATGCAAAACCTACTGGCCACATGATTTCTGCCGACCATTCTCCAGCCTTTTTCCAGCAGAGTTGCCGATGCTTGAAAAAGGTGACGGGCAGGCTGAATGAATGGTTTGGTCCAACCGGTGTGCTGAATGAATCGGTGTCGATCAAAGCTAGCTATTTTTGACCTGTGCTCTCTGTTGACCACAGTGGAGGAGTAGGCTGAGGATCACCGCTCACCGAAATCAATTTCAATGAATAATCGTGCCTTGTGTGCACTAGTTTCTTGCTAGTTTTCCCAAATCTATCAATGGATCCCTCTAGCTCCCCTCTCTAGTCATCCATCAGAGGGTTCTCCCTAGAGTCGTGCTCTTAAAGTGCGACGGACCTTTGAGTCAATGGCTTGCTCATCCCGACCAGACCTTTCAAATATACCAAAATCCGGCCTACCCGAAACTGTGAATGGGGGAAAGGACGAATCTCTCTCAAACAACTTTCTCTGGCACTCGGGGGTCGAAACCGAATAAAAAAGACAATTCTAGTGTTCAACGGGTCCAAGGGAAAGCGAGACGGGCGTCTGTATGTGTGTCTGGCACTGCTTATCACCAACAAATTTCTGGCTACTTCCCAGCCGTCTCCCATACTCACGCACAGACACAACTGCGCTGACACCCATTATCTGCCACGCTAAAAAACTGCACCTCGCCGGCGTAGTCGGCCCGTTAGTATATGGGCCGATATTCGGGGCAAAGGGGAAGAGCTGATTAGCCGCATTGGCTTGCAGGAATCAGCATTGCTTGGCATTTCGTTGCTGAGCCAGATTCACCGAAATGTTCATTCTTCTGTATTGAAAGGGATCGCTTTTCTAGTATTTTTTTTTGCTTTAGAACTTCAGTTCCTTTCATTAGTGCGGTCCGTAGCCTTAAAGCGCACGTTCAGGGAGGGGCCGTATACTCTGTCCAACGTATACACCCTATGGACGTAAGGACAACGCGCACTGCCTGCCCGTGCTGTGACAGGCCATTCCCCTCCTTTGCGGGGTGGGGCGCCCCTCGCCCCTCGCCAGGTTGTAGCTGTGGCTGACTGGTATCCATCCGCGCCTCCCGAGCGGGGGGCCCGGGTTCGACCCCCGGCCGCGGCAAAAATCTTTGCTTTTTCCCAAAAAACGTCCCTGAACGTGCCCTTTAATGGCAGAATTTTATCTGATTAAAATGATAAAATTCAGCCTTCGACTCCCCAATCTCCAATTCCAATAGCCGAATCATCAATGCAATTCACGTGCAGCACCTCCGAACCATCCTTGGGGCCAGCCGGGTCTCGGTATCCGCCGCTCTTCCACCGGTCTCAATTTCTTTTTTACACTAGGCTGGGCAGTTGCCCAACTTCACTCGGCGCATGTCCGCCTAATTCATGTGACAGCGAGAGTGGCTGGCTGCTGATCGCGCTGTGCCCCTCTTCCCTCCCCTCTTTCCTGTACAACCTTTTGCTCCTCACTGCTGCTCTTGTTTCTTTTTTCGTGTCTTCCGTTTGAGCGGCCGAACAACCTCCTCATCTGTCCTCCCCCCTTGCTCCCCATCAACGCCTGAGACCCGAGCCGGGAGCGTGGGAAAGCTAATGGGTTCCGGTCGTAATATGGGAAAAGCTGGATTGTGGGATATAGGATAAGGATTTGGGGATAGAACTTGGTGGACTGGATATGAGTGTGGGTGCACTGTAGGAAAGACGTTAGCCATGTGATAGGCGGCAGCACATTTCTATTCTTTACTAAAACTAGTTAGGTTTTAGGTTATCCAATGCATGTTCGCATTAGACGAAAACTGCCGTTGTCCTTGATGGTGGTTAGCTGATAAGAAGAAGCATTTGTATTCGTCTTGTAGAGGTCTTAGAAAAACCGGCTGTCAGAAATTAGCCGCGGAGCTTAGCTGCCAATCAAATTCGCTCTAGCTTCCCATTAAGCTAAGCAGTTTTGTTTTTGCACCTTAGGCAGAGAAGGAGGGCAGAATTAAAGCTGCCGCGCGCCCAATTAGATAGCCACCACCCGTAGCCACCACTTTAGAGGGTATTTTCACTTTCCGTATCACGACCGGTTCCCTACAGTTTCACCAAGTTGCCGTTGGCATCGAGAATTTCTCTTCACTTTCTCTACGGTCTTTCAACAACCGTGGGAAAGGGGCGGGGCGTAGGGGGGGTCGGGGGCCGGGGTGGGGCTTGTTGGGTCGAACCGGGGGGAGTAGGCGGGGCTTCGCCGCCCCTCCCCCCGATGGCCGAGGCATTGATCCTCAGTCGACCGGTCTCCTCCAACGGGTCCCGACCTTCCCCCTTCCCTTCAGAATCAGAATCATGGTCTTCTCCTCTAAACCGGCCGTCTATACCGGCGAAGCATTGGCCTGCGAACGTGTCATCCGCGTGTCGTGCAGCAAGATGTCCCAGGCCCGCATTGAAAGGGGTGGCCCCCGGTTGGCACGCAACCTCCTCATCCTCCAGACGCTGAAGTATGCTCGCGAGGAGCAGAAACGGTAGGTATTCTTGAATTCTGGAATTCCTCGATCTTATTCATTTTCTTTTCCAGTCTGGGGGAACATTTAACTCTGGAAATTATTCTCGCCTTCGCTCCTTCTCCGCTCGACTCTCTTTTCCTTTCCTAGCTAATTACCCCCCGGTGCACCATAGAGTCAATAAAATTTTTACGAGCACACCTCGGCCGGCGCGCTAGTTTAATCTAACAAATGGCTCGGGGCTGTAAACGGAGACCTAGCATCTGAATGTTCAAAGATTCAAAGATTGACCATGGCCCTTCACCCCAGCAGGGTGTTCTTTGAGCCACGGATGGCCTTTGTTTTATCCCCTTCCCGTCCTTCTTGTGGCCCTCAGGGGGTGGGCCAGAGGGCGCTGTTTGCGTGGGGCAAACACGCACTTCACACTGCCATTGTCGGGTGCGCGCCAGCCGAGCCAGGCAGAGAGTTAGAAATTCTAGACGAATCGATTCCTACGGCTCGCAAGGGCCGTGAGATTTTCGGGGGTAGATTCATTGGGTAAACAAAAAGGAAACGATCAGAAAGGCTTCGAAGAAAGTTCTAATCCTCTCTTTGCAGCATTGAGATGGCTGCGCTGAAGACCATCACCGAGAATCTGATCCAGCTTCTCGATGAGGATGAGCCGATCCGGCCCCCGATCGTCTTCACCGTCACCGACGATCATGAGGGTCTCTCGGTGTTCGACTCGGATGCCCCCCTCGTTTTCGGCACCGAGGCCACTGAGGAATGCCTCTACGAGGTTTGTATATTTTTCAATATCGCCCGGCCAACTTTAAATCTCTTGAAATTCGCAAGAGCAAGCGCTCGGGAACTCTTTTCACGATTAACCAGCAGCTCCGGTTACCGTCCGGCTGTAGGCCATCTCCCCTTTGTTACCCGATCCCTCAACTCTAAATCATGGATCACTTTCAGGGCGACGAGGAACTGATGGTCGTCAGCTCGCCAGCGCCTCTTTCGTCGGCGCTCGACGACGCTCTGTCGAAGATCGGCAAGATCACCGAGCGCAAGCGTCGTTCTGCCACCCCAATCAATGTCCGCCACGCCATGGCCGCCCACTAAATGCTGCTCCTCTGCCAGCACAGCCGGTATTTTGGCCCTAAGAAGTTCGCTCGCCCAACATCAAAACACCCCCAAAAAATTCTAGAGCAACTTCTCGACCCGATTCTGAAACCCCCACCACCCCCTCCCTCCCTTTTCTCTAGCTTTTGAACTTCGAGCATGATCTCACTACCGGTTACAAACGATCTTATTTATTTATAAATTTTCCAAAACAAAAACCACCCCGCTGCCGCTCGCTCGAATTCAAGTTAGTGAAAATGCCTTCTCATGTACAAGTTTGATTACCCGGGCTAGGCCCCGAAACGTGTAGAATTCTCCCCCCGTCTCCTCTCAGTCATCTTCGACGTTGTTAGTGCATTTCTATTCCTGGTTACACCGCCTCGGTGCCGTTAGGGCTGCCCTCAGGCCCTGCCTCAACATCCTCAAGTCTCTGTTACTTCCAACTCTAGTGATCTCCAGCAAACAAACACACGCAGTGCACCCCCGTGTCTCCACCGCACCTATTCATTCACCTCTCTCTGCGATCCCTCGCATACGCCGGCGAATTTGGCCGTCACAAGCCTTCCTTCACCCCATTAATTATTCCGGAGAAATTACGGTATCCGCGACAGTTGCGACTGCGCGGCGCAAGCTTTAGCCCCATCTTTGATGTTACCTATCCAAACATTGCGGGATGTGTTTTACGATTTTTGATTTTGTCATGATGCGGTCCGAGTATGTCCCTCAACCCCGATTGACCCCCCAACGCATACATAAGCCGAGTGCGTCTAGTACCTGTAGTCCGTGACCCGACTGTTACTGTGTTGGTTGCCCCCATAAAATACGTGCATTTCCCTTTGCCCTTCTTGAACTACTCCCGGCCAGGCAACCGGGTGCCGAATTCGAAAATGGCGAAATGGCTTTCAAAACTGCTTTGTTCACAGAAGATTTCGTTATTCAAAGCCAATCTACCCATTTTCACCTCTCCTCTTTGAAAAGAATTGGAGCAAACGCGGTGTCTCTTGTATAGATCCGGAGTACGTGTGGTGTCGAGGGACCTCGTCCCGAATGCATCCACCAACTCACGGACCCTTACGCTTCCATGAGCACTCTCAGGTTCTCGTCAAAAACCATATGTGTTAGCTGATTCTCCACACTTCCCTGGTTTGATTTTTATTTGATTTCACCCCATCAGCCTTTGCATTTGTTGCCCCCCCCGTTCTCCCCCCAATCAGTACACTGTCGTATCCGGATCCATTTCTCGTCTTTATATTAAAATATGGGTGTCTTTAGAAGACCAAACTGTGTTTGTCAATAAAATTTAAAATGTATTTTCGAGTCCTTGGAAATGCACAACGGAAAAGACACTCCGAGGGTTTGTAAAGACAAAAAAATGGTTTTCGCAGGCATGAAATTCAATTTAAAAAAATGTCGAATTCAAAATCTGAATTCAGTTCGCGTTTTGGCGCCAAAAATAATGCTTCTCTCAAAGTACATGGGAAAGAAAATCGTAAATTTACATAAAGTCGACCACATGAGCCCTATAGCCCCATGGACTTCATAGATCTAATTTTAGATTACCCGCTGCCCACCGGCTAGGCACCGGTTTCAATGCTCTCCCACCGTATTAGCATAAATATTTGTGGAGGCAATTAGGCTGACTGGACCCGCTCCTGAAGGGATAGCGCTGCTCGTGCGAGTCTCCTCCTCCGCCTCCTCCCTTCCGAGCGGCGCAACTCAATTTTCGTGTGGAGGGACGCCTGCTACTCGCGATGCTGCCGGAATCTTTAAGCTGTCCGCCGATGAGCAGCCCCCGGGAATTCTAAACGTTTGGATAGCCCCAGCTGCCTCTCTGCCCTTTTTTCGAAATTGCCGATCACCCATCTCCACCAACACCCTTTGCCCCCCACTTTCTCGCGGCGGGCCGCTGGGCGATCAGTTATATCGTCGCGGAAATTGGCCAAAAAAAGGTGTTCGCGGGGTGGGAAGATATGGGAAATTTCTTCGATGCGGTAGAGGTATGGTAGAGATGGGCGTTTCCTGTCGAAAGCGGGTTCACGTTTTTGGGGTGGGTTTACTGGAACTGATTGCGAAGGTTTGTGGTGACGTCGACAGTCCAGGTAAACTGTTTGATCCGAATTGCGTGATTCTGTCAAAACTTGAACGCATAGAACTAGGCAGTAAGTATGATTTGATAGGAGCTTACTTGAATTGTAAGTATTAGTGGATTTGAAAACATTCTGGGCTGCTCAGCGGATAAACATAAGCATTGTTTGAATTTAGTTGAAATTTCATTGAAAATTTAATAAAAGACGTTTTATCGTGTGTTAATGATAGAAAAATTGGCATTTTAATGGTGTGATGGTTATTTAATGTTTTACGCTCTCAGCGTTACATTTTTGCATCTAATTTTATTTCAGACTCGCTTTGCCCCGCCGGCACTTCCCCGACCAGCCTTTTTCTCACAGCCGCCCATCTGCTTCCAGACTTTACACACGACAGTTGAAATGTTCAAAAGATCCGTCTAGGTGCCCAGACCGGGCTATCCGCAAACAAAGCCGGAACCAAGAGGCCAGACATCTTGGCTTCGGGGATTTCCTCTCCTCAAATATCATCCGTCTGCCTTCCTTCCCGTTTGGTGCACCTGCGTATTGGTTGAGGGACGGCGAAGATCCGAGTCACTTGCTGTGGCTCAATACTTTTCAAATAAACTTTAAGGACTACACAACACAATCTTTACAAAATACCCTCCAGCCGTTCGCCCGCTCGGCCGGCTGGCTCTCATTTGTCTTTTAGCGGTTTGTGTATGTGTATCGCCCGCAGGGGCCAGTCAGGAACTACACGCCCATCATCATCTGTGTCCCACGGGCACCTCCGACCAACTGAGGGACAAACAGAAAAACGACTGACTGTGTGTAATGTCCTTCACCCCTCGGGAACAGCTTGATGGATTTTCTGGTCACCGATATGATCGAAGGGAGGGCCCCATGCGAAGGAGGGGGAAGAAAAAGCGCCCTTTGGGCTTGTAAATAACAGGCTTTCAGGACATGCTTGCTAACATCTAAAAAACAAATTTCCCCCTTTTTTCCTTTCTTTTTATTCTTTTTAACCCAAAATTTTCTTACCCCCTCTTTTTTTCTTATAATTAATGGCAAAACCCAAAAAAACCCAGAAGAAAACCCTAAATAGAAAAATCCCCTTCCAAAATTTTTAAAAAAAAAAATTTTATATTTTAAAAAAAAAAATTTTTTTCCCCTTTTTTTTTTTTAACCCTTTTTTATTTTTTAAATTCTTTTTTAAAAAAAAAACTTTTTTTTTTAATTTTTTTTAACCATTTATAATTATATTTTTAAAAAAAAACTTAAAAAAAATAATTTAAAAAAAAAAACAAAATATTTAAAAAATTTTCAAAATTATTTTTTATTATTTTTTTTTTTTTTTTCCAAAAATCCCAAAAAAAAATAAAAAAATTTCTTTTTTCCCCCACCCCCCAAAAAAAAACCCCTAACCCCCCCCCTTCCCCCCCATCCCCCCCTTTAAAAAATTTATAATACCCAAAAAAACCCCCCAAAACCCCAAAAAAAAAAAAAAAAAAAAAAAAAAAAACAAAAAAAAAAAAAAAAAAAAAAAAAAAAAATTAAAAATCTAAAATAAAAAAAAATATTTTAATTTTTCTTTTTTTTTAAATTTTTTTATTATTTTTATTTTTTTTTTTTTTTTAATTTTTTTTTTAAAATTTATAAAATTAAATCAAAATATTATTTTAATTTTTTAATTTTTATTTTAAAAAAAAAAAAAAAAAAAAAAAAAAAAAAAAAAAAAAAAAAAAAAAAAATTTAATAATTAAAAAATGTTTTATAAATAAAAAACCCAAATTATTAACAAATCCCACCCCTCAACAATTTCCCCACCCCCCTTCCCAATCTCCTACTTTTAAACAAAAACCAAACAATAATTTTTAATCCCACAAAAAAAAAAAAAAAAAAAGATGAAAAAAAAAAACGTTTATATTTATTTTAATTTGTGAGGTTGCAATGCTTGAAAGTTTAGAGGACCGATAGGGAAAATGTTACTGGGTTTGGTTTGAAATCACTGAGGGTCAAAAGTGGCATGGGAAAACTTCAATCTAGTTCCCAACATTAAAGGGGTGTGAGGTAGTAGTTATAAGTCGTTTAATTCATTTTTACAATTTTAAAAGGATACCGGATAATTATGTCCTTGGTTTGTAAACCCGCTGAAAATTTCTTCGCTCGGGATTAAACTCGTTTTTCAATGTAAATGTGGAAATAAATAGTTTACCTAGAATCCAAGAGCATTATTTCACTTTTACTCAACCCACATCTTTTTCCTGGATGCTTTTAAACAGAGAATAACTCCTGAGTTAAAAGCATTACTTGTCGAAATAACAGGGCCATCCCGTCTTGTTTTCGAGGTATTTCTACGAAATTTCATCAATAACTCCACTATTGTCCACCCTTTAATGATCGAAAACAGAAAGTTATCCATCTCAAGTGCTTATGGCCAAGGGTGGCCGTCAGGTTAAGGATGCAGAAAAGGAGAGAGGTCAATAGGGGGTGAATGAAGAAGCCGAGGAATAGGAGATGGAAAGAAGGACAGCAGCTGTCGCCGCCAGGGTGAGGGAAGGGAGACCCCCCGTCCACGTTTCTTCCCTGTCCGCACGGCTCCTGGAGTATTATGGACTGCCGCCGTCGGCCACCAACGCCTTTTTCTTTCCATCCCTTCAGAGCCCCAGACTTCTCCACAAAGAATATTCTAGCGGGTTGTTGACAATGAGGGCTGGGGCTCTGCATGGAGGGCTTTTGGGGTGGAGGCAAAAATAGCTGATGAGGTGATCATCGATGGCATTACGGAGCTCAAACCATAGCAAAATTTCGTAAAATTTATGAAAAATTTATTAGAAAAATTCATACGCAAAATTGGGGTATCGGCACGCCCCGATGAATCCACGTTTTTAGCGCGATATTCGAATGAAAATAAACAAACCTAAATCTGCCTAT